CGCTTTGGCCATTCCGCACTGGGGCTGCGGCAACCTCATCGAAAATTGTCCCCGAGGCTATGAACGTGACGCCATAATTGCCGTCGCCGCCCTTCTCATAATTGGTCTGGCCTGTCTGATTGTCGTCTTCATCATCGACCTCGTCTTGATCTGCTCCAGCGTGGTGCCAGCCGGTCTCATCACCGCGAGATTCGTCCTGCTGTATTTGGGCACAGCACTCATACTGATAGCAGTCATTGTGTTTACGGCGAAGAGGAATGCCCTTTGGTCCTACTTCCTTGCACTGATCGGCGCCATTTTCGCGGTTCTCGTGGCCATCCTGGCAATCATGAGCTCTAGGTGCGTGACCGGCAGTGAGCGTGTCGTTGTACGAACCACACACTAGAGGGAGAAGATGTGTTTGCATCGGCCTGAGAACACTTCAACGAGCATGCGGCCGTGAAACGAATTAACTTCTATTGGCTGTTTTTAAAACTTGTCTATCCGGTAACGCATTTTGAGATCTTCATAATTAAGTCAGTCTTGTTGAAAAAGTTCTATGTGACATCACTTATCCGTCTACAAAGACCGCTTTTACCCTTCTAACTGCTGTTTATTTGACTGCTCCCACCCTCCCATCGCTTGAACATTTGTTATGCATACTCGTGCACTTTGACCGCCATCATATACCTACTTCTCTACCCGCTCTCGTCTACGTTTATAATAAGAGGATTTGGTGTCCTATAGGAATTTTTGGTTTGTTTTTATTTTCACCAATAGACTTATCTGCTATACCTCGTGCCAATTTTGTTTGGGAAATTTTGTCCGGGTAAAGATGCATCGGGGTTTATGACGGTGAAGTTGTTGACGTTCGTTTGATTGGTGCTGGCTGCACTCGACAAACAAGGGTCCTGAGTACGTTTTATGTTATGTCCGAGAGAGCTAGTTTCAGGCGTGGGGTGTTACGACACTCAGATGGGGGAGGTAGGGGGCGTGAAACCGCCGAAAACTGAAACAAGGGCGTTTTTTTATAATTCATGGTGACCTGGCTATTAAGCGAACGTTCTATAGCCCGGGAAAAGATACATTTATAGGTGTTAAGGCTAAGACGGTCAACCCTAACAGCTACAATCTTCCAGGCCTATGGTTCCTTTATGTGAGGAGAGAGAAGACGGTGGGAAAGCCAGATTGTTAGGAATAGTTTATTCCGCAGAAGGATAGGAGAATAGGTTGAGAGAGTTGACTATCGCAGCACAGGTCCGGCCGCGAGGCGGGCCAGTTCCGGAGTGATGTCTAGTGAGCAGACA